CACAAGCGTGTTGTCACACAACGCTGCTTAAATGCAGAACCTGATACCCAGAAGCACCTGCTGCACCTGCCACACACCTGGCCCTCTCTAATCAACGTGAATGTGTGAAAAATGTAAGGAGTGTTTACGTGTCGTCCGTTCAGGCTGATTTTACATTTTCAAACCAAGGAGCTGAAATCCTGTTTGATAAACCACAGAGAACTGAGAAATTAATTTGCTCACATTTTTTCACACCTTCACATCCGGCGCTGTGTAATCTGTACACATCCCTTCCCCCAGTGCCCTGCTTCCTTATCTCACCCTCCACCACCTCCTCTCCGCCTGAGCCTCCTGCCCCATCCTCGCTCTCTGGGGGAGCACTTAACTCTGTGCCTGATCGACCAGCCCACCCTGGAGCTCAGCGCCGGTATGGCGTCTGCGCTGTTCTCAGTGGCACTCTGCCACCTCGGCAAAGCACACAGCGCACTGCCACAACAGAGCCGCCAGAGCCGCCGGGCAATCGACTGCCTCAGAGTGGCCTGTGTAGAAAAGGCAGTCATCGATCCCTCCCCAGGAGCTCGCACACATACAGAAAGGAAGGGAGAGGGGAGAGCGGAGAGAGAGAGGGGAGGCAGGAGTATGGGAAAGGTCTAAAAGCTGTGCTGAAAGGACGGCTGGAGTGAGGCTGTAGCTGCAAACACACACAACAACAACAACAAAAACAAACAAACAAAAGAGTCACATAAAAAAACAATAAATAAGCCTTAGTTAATGGAGACGACAAAGTGAGACTGGTCCGGAGACGGCCTCCCCGCAGCACTCAGGGTGTGTGTGTGTGTGTGTGTGTGTGTGTGTGTGTGGTTGGACACCCTGTTCTCTGCAGAATGACTTAGTGTCAGTCTAATCTTGGTGCCACGGGAGTTGCTATGGGCAGGAGTGAGTGTGTGTGTGTGTGTGTGTCTAATTTTATTTGGCTGCTCACAGGCTCGAATAATCAGCTAATTGTTGAGCGCTGCTGTTTCTGCCAGTGTCCTGAACTGAAGAGACAATTTGTGTGTCTGCGACATGTGTATGGTGAAGTGTGTGTCTGTGTGTGTGTGTGTGTGTGAGAGAGAGAGAGAATATGAGTGTGTTTCCAAACAGTGGGCGTGGGTTTATTGGGTTAGCTCACGTATTGATCCGTGGTGAGTAAGACAGGTTAAGGCCTGTTAAAAACATGGGCCATACAGGCTAATGACGTGGAATTCAATTTTAAAGAAGATGCAGCTAATGCTGTTTCAGCTCCATGAGCTCTAATGAATGTCTGTCTTCCTTTTTTTTTTCCAGCTGACTTAATTTTTACCACCTAATGAATTAATGAATTCTCTTAACATCCTGTCTGTCCACAGAGCAAGTCCCCGGTCTGAGGGACTCGAAGCGGGTGGAGGATCTGCAGAATAAAGTCATTTCTTGTCTCAGAGACCATCTGGGTTGCGGCCCCTCTTCCTCCTCGTCTAAAGCCGTGCCTCCTTTGAGTCGTATTCTGGGCCTGAGGGCAGAGCTCCGGTCACAGAGAACCCAGGGCCTTCAACGAATCTTCTACCTGAAGCTGGAGGATCTGGTCCCACCTCCTCCTCTGATTGACAGATTCCTGGACACTTTGCCCTACTGACCGCCTGGCATGATGTAAGACAGAGAGAGAGACCCGTCGTCACGTCATGTTCAGGCTTTTTTCCCCCTCACGAGGAGCACGTGCACATGTCCAGATGAGAGTCAGTAACGCTTGAGTGACGCAGAACAGAGAGAACCAATCAAATGCTTTCCTGCTCTCTGGGACGAACGAACGTCAAAGAACGTCTTTTTGCAGAAATGGACAGCTCTCTAAATGTTTTCGACAAATGTAAAAGACAGTTACAAAAACAATTGTCACTTTTTATGTGATTCTCCTGTTTTTGTCACACGGGGGACGAGGTTGAGGTTGAAATGGACGTGTGATGTAAATGATATTTACTTTCCTCTTTCTCTGGGTGACAGCTCGTTCAGCACAAAAGAGACAGAGCTTTCCAAGAACTGTTGACCGTGCTCGGGCCTGACTCGTCCGTGACCAGGACGGGTGGAGGCGTGTTTTTTGTGATCATATCGTCAGAGCTGAAGTTTTCCCAGTGAAACGCACCTCTCTGTACATTCTACTGCCTGCTGAAAGGAAAGGGAACTGGTCTTTTCACGAGGAAATGTGTCTCTGTCAGTGCGATCGAAGGCGTGTAGAAATGTCGTGAAGCAGGACGCGGTTATCTCAAAGGAAAGACACAGGAAAATGGCTGTTGTTTAAAGCTCTTGATTCCAAGTGCAATTTTCTAAGTGCTTTTCTCCAGCAAGAGGATAAAACAGAGAGGGAATGGGTTCAATTTCAAACGAAATTATTTTAATACAAAGACTTCCTGTCCTGTGTTGTCAGTAGCTAAAAGAAAAGCAGACAGTCTCCTCCTGGCTCTAGAAAGCAGGGGAGATACTGTGCACTAACCATTGATGACTGAGTCACCCAGACTTGAACTTGTTTGTATTTTTTAAATATATATATCAGCTCATTTTAAAAATCATAGGTTACATAGGAGTGCGGAGGACAGAAATCTGCTTTTGGAGCACTTACACCCTGAGAAGGGCTAGAGGCACAGACACACACCCCACCTGCTCACCTGGAGGACGGTGCAGAAAAGGGAGCGGAAGGGTGCTCGACAAATAGCTGTATGTCAAGGGTCGGAACATTCCGCAGTCATGCTCTTCTTCTTCTTCTTCTTTTTTTTTGTTTCTATTGTGGAGGCTGTGTGAGCGAGTGGAGGACACGGTTACTGTCTTTGTTTGTGCGCTTCGAAAAGCCAGGATCATATGCATGGTGTGTTATACGCTGTCGACAACTGCCATCAAAACAGCTCAACCTGTGTTTGTGTCTCAGATCGCGGCTCGGCGGGGATGTCCCCGGGCCTCGACGCCCACTCACAGCAGCAGTTTGAAATTCAAAAAGAAAAAAAAAAAAGCAAATTATATAGATATAAATATAAATATATAAATATATACAAAACTAATATTTTGAAGTGTTTTTAGCTTTTTTCAAATATTGTGGTACGAGTTGTGCATTGTTTTTTTTGTTTGTTTTTTTTTGAAGAAGAGAAACGAAAAAGGAAAAAAAAATGGCTGTTTTTTTCAATGTCTCTCCTTGATTTGAGTTTCCTGTTTGTTCATTCTCTTTGGTTCACTGGATTTTATGTTCCGCACTTTGAAATCATAAAACTAGTTCTGATTAATCTTCACGTTTGCCTCCTGTGTTGTGATTCACACAAGTGAACGCGGGTCCGAGAGCGGGACGTAGTCGACGCCACCGCGTCCTCACATGCATGTGTGAGCGTGTGCACGTGTGTGGCCAGAGACAAAAGCCTCTTGGCAGGTAAAAGGCTTCATCTCTCTCCCAGGAGAGCGCAGTAGAGAGGGATTAGGAGACAGAGGAGGGGGAGGAAGAGGAGAGATTCATGTTAGCATGAGGTCCAGATCAGCCTCCAGCCTCGTTAAACACCATCGATCGCCATGGTGACATTTCACAGCACATGCCATCTATACTGTCACCACCATCACTCACTTGGCCTGAGCACTAACACACACACACACACACACACACACACACTCTTTAGGACGGCAAGGTGATTGATAGTAACTATGGTAGTGAAATTGTCAACTTACTCTGAGTGTGTGTGTGTGTGTGTGTGT